GATAACCAGTACCACCACTTGATCAATCAGTTAATTTATACTTGAAATCTATTGTGCCATTCTTACTACAATCAACTGAAAAACCTTTAGAAAAAATCAAATGGAAAAAGAATATCAATTAAGAAAAGAATGAGCGAATGAAGTATGTTTGAAAGGAGGATTAGAAGAAAGATTACAAGAAAGGTTAATTGATATTGATTGTAGTTCAACTTATCACTGGTTAGATGATCATCATTTAATTAAAATCACCTATCCTTCTAATTGAGTGCTGTCTATTAATGCAAATTGTTAATTTGACCTGATTTTGATTTTGATCAAGTCATCGTATTGTACCTGAAAATGGTCAATCTACTGACTGGAAATTACCTAGAGCTTCAGTTTGAATAAATCGAACTACATATGATCTTTAAACAAGATAGGTAAGAGAAAAAAGTTAACCTTTTTGAATTTTGACCCTTCATTTCTCGACTAACAAACAATTCCTGGTTTGTTTTGACTGACCCCTCATGCAGGTCAATGTTGCATGCATCAGTATGACTGGTAGGTTTACCAATCAATCATTAATTGCTACCTTGTGTCCTGATTTCTATTCCATATCTTCAGCCCGTTGGCAACACCATTGGCTTCTTGACAGCCCCTATATGGAATCACTTGGATGCCCAATAAACCATCTTGATCAACTTAATCTTCCTTCATCAAACTCTTGTCTTCTTGTGGTCTTGATTAGAGACCATACTCTCGAGTTTGGGATCGAGAGGCTTGTCATTTATCTTTCGAGCCACGTCTTTGGTCCATTGTTAATTGTCTCACTCTACAGCCTCCCACTCCTTTGATCGGTTGTCTCACTTGTCTCAATTGAGAACATCTTCTAAGCCTTCCTGGTTTGACCAACAGGACTTCAATGAATTTAATAGACGACACATTATTGGTACTTTGTCTAATTGGTTTTACTCAACCAGGAGGAACCAATCATAGTAGCATCTACTAATGGAAATGGTTTAAAGGTTTGATAAACCATTCCCATTTATTGTAGAAAACAATTCAAGAGCCTCTGTACTGGGGGAAGATTCATCTTGTGATGCACTTATTCCAGTGATTACGACTGATTTTGTTTTGGCTGAAGGTGTGGGATCTGGTTGGTGTGGTCCAAAAGTGAAAGAAGTCATAGATTAGAATTTGATGATTGGAAGAATCTAGAATGGGTCACAGATTCTAAAGTTCTTCAAACAATTGAAAACGCAAAAGAAACAGTTCAAAGCATCTCTCATGCTTTGGATGCTGATGTTTTACAGTTTAAAGCTTATGGATTGGATTTCAAATCTGGTAAACAATTGGTCTTCAGACGACTCAATTTCAATTTTGATCATCAGCTCAACTCTCACCTGATGCTAATTCAAAAGGCAATGCAATTAGCTTGGTATTGACAAATCAGAACTCAAAGGAAGTTAGTCTTGAACAAGCATTTGATCAACCTTTTCTTGGACTTACCTTTACTCTTTACTGATCCAGTCTTCAATCAGAGTGCTGACCATATGCATGGATTTCTGCTGACAAACAATATTTTGATCAACAATTTTTATAAGGATTTGGTTGGATCAAAAATGGTCAAGTTTGGAATTGAAACTAAGAAATCTAATACAAGAATTTCACCTTGGTTGCTAAGGGTGTGTTCACTTAAGCAATTTCTGGTGAGAAATCACATTCTGCAAAATTTGAAGTGTCTATTTGGTGGAGCATGTTTATTTTTTGGATTAAAAAATTCACAGGATGTGATTTCTGGTCAGAATTTCCTTAAGTGAACGGGCCCTAAGTATAGGACTTAGGAGCCCCACATTTCACAAAATGGGGAGCTTCTTCATAACTTCCTAGGGGTTCATTGTAGTAACTTATGCAAAACATGGTTTTGCCATTTTGCAAATTTTGATGATTTTAGCCATCCTAACAATTGTTGGGATGTGACAAAGGAACAAGGAATGACCCCCGTCCATGTCACAAGGTCTCTTCGGGAGTCTTAGTCTTGGGATGGCCTGGTCATTACATGAGCAGGACTCGCGGTAAGGAGTTCACATGAGTGGTGTGACAGGCGGTTCCGCCCTGGATAGATAGTACCTGAGACAGGAACTTGTTTTTGTTCCACTTCACCCCACTTCTAAGGGTTTACTGTCTTTTGTAACTCTTTCCATCTCCTGTCTTTCCGCTTTCGTCTTCCAGCCCTCCTAAGCCGTCTCGAAGCCCTCTTGCAGTATTGACTTTCTCTTTTTGAGCCCACTTGTCTGTTGTCCTCACCCACCCTGCGGCTCAAAGGGTCTCAGTCCCTACTTGCTGAGATCTTGCAGATTTCCACATTTGCCTGCTTCAGGCTAAGCAGAAGTGCTTCAAAATACTACACTGCCAGCATTAAATACATAGCCAGGCAAGCCTTACTGCTGCCAATCAGGAGCAAGTCTTGCACCCGGCACCAATACCTAGTGTATTGAATTCTCGATGCCATAAAGCATACACTACATATGTGCAAACATCTGAGTAAATCCTTAGCTATCAGCTACATACAGGTCCGCTCAGTTATCTGCTCATCTAGATAAGGAAATCATGTGTAATACATGCTGTAACTTTGTTCAGATTGAGACACACATTTCAAAATATTGACTACATATATCACAATGGCTACTCAGGCAATATTCATGGAACTGTGTAACAGTAGCAGAATGGGAATCTGATCACTAGGACCCATATTCCCATCTGGGAACCTCTTTAATGCTGGCAGTGCTAGGTGTTTCTTACACCCATAGCCAGGCAAGCCTTACTGCTGCCAATCAGGAGCAAGTCTTGCACCCGGCACCAATACCTAGTGTATTCAATTCTCGATTCCAAGCTGAGAAGGTCATCTCCTTCTTCAGCTTTTTCTCTCTCTCAAGGAAAGGGATGACGAGACATGAAAGTTTTGAAAGCTTTTGTCATAAATGTTTACAATTAATGGCTACAAGATTTGAAATGATGGAGTATTTCCTTCAATTCCCAATGGGAAGTTTATTAGCCAATGTAAAGAGAATTATGAAATTGTATTAGAGACAGAACTAGTAAGGCAACTTCTGTACTATCAGGTCAAAGTGCTGTAATGCTGAGCTACTTAGCAATGGATTTTGTTTATTCATTTGTTAGATCTTGAAAAACAAAGACATAGTCAATTTTGCAATCTTGATGATATTTTGTAATTAGAACTTGATACAAAGTTGATCAACTAACAATTTCCACTTGAATATTTCACATGTTTCCTAACTTTTTGGTTCCCTTCATCTTCATTAAATTTTAAAGTATCTTTTTTCACAACTTTCCACTTACAGCTTCAATCCATTTGATGGTTCTATTGTTGAATCAATGTTAGTAACTTGATGGTGTGTGGAGAAGATCACCGCCGCTCAGCCGCTCCACCAAGTATTGGGGACCCTGCTCAAGCCCCTGCTCACCAGAGCTTTGCCAGGGCAGCGCACACCGGATATAAAGCCGTGGCCCCAGCCATGCCCTAGGCCCCAAAAAATACAGAGGGTGTGAGCCCTGCTTTTATGTATGTACAGAAAGCCACTTGCAGATCTTTGACTGACAACACTGCCTTCCTCAGAAGGACTTAGTTTAGGGTCTTAGGGTTATGTAGTCAAAGAAGAGGAAGCCCCGACCTAATGTCTTTTTGGAAACCTAACATAGTGAGACTCAACAGGCTTTCAGTAATCTTGAATCTCCTCTTATTCCTTTTCCAGGATTTCCCGGTTCTAGGTCAACATCCAAAACCGCTTTGGACTCAATTCACCTTAGTCAGTGCACTGCCAGCATTCATTAGATATGCTACCG